TTAATACATATCAAGTATACCTGGACAGGTATCACTTGCCACAGAGCAGGACATGCTACTGAAAGAAATTAAATTGTATATAAAAAATATAGTTTACCCAGTTACCGCCTCACTGAAGTTTGAAGGCTGGCAACAAGTGGTAGATGAGCTTTTGAGGTGTAGTCCATGCGCCTGACTAAAGAATTTCTTCCAGCAGATGACAGAGGTGAGATGCCATGGAAAAGGTAAGATGCCTGGTCTGATGCGACAACACCTGGAATAGAGTTCAGGAAGAAGGAGACAAGGATGAATAAGCCAATTGCATCAAAAGCCAAACCCCATTGGTAATGATGGAAGGAAAAAAGATCACAAACAGAAGAATGTTGCCGGGAGATTAAAATGAGAAAACAGGAACCACGGAAGGAAGCCATGAAAGCAATGTAACAACAAAGAGCACATACAGGACATAGAAGTCTAAGGGAATAAAGGTAGGATACAGAAGGAAGAATTTCCCTCACGCCCTGCCAAAGTTTTGGGGAGGGAAGATCTATCTGGATAAAGAAGAACATAGGTGGAATGGCACAGAGTGAGTGAAACATCAATGGCAAAAATATCAATCCGACGATGCCCATAGGCTAAAAGAAGTAGGAAATGAGTTGTAAGGGACAAGTGAAACAAAAAACAGGAAGACAAATGTTCAAATGGATGTAGTGAAAGGCAGTGAAGAACCTCATTGACATCCCAATCTGGAAGGACCACCCGACGAGGAAGTCTACGAGTCTGAAAAACAAAAGGTGTGGGATAAGGCTGCTCGATAACCAGTAATGGATGAGAATGAAGTCCTATGAATGAAAAGCCAAGTGAGCAAATCTGAAATATGAGGAATAGTGGGTCGAGAAGGGGAAAAACCTCAACTCAAACACCAATAGTGAAAGACATTCCATTTGTTGATAGACTGTCAATGAGTAAGAGCAAATGGAACTTACTAAAAAGGATGCGACTCACCAAGACAATTTGGATCTCCTTGCCAATGACCTGATAAGTGCCAGGCATGAAGATAGAGGGTAAGAAGGGTGGGATTAATTACTGATGACAAAGGTTGACATAAAAGGGATGGAGTGAGAGGAAGAGGTAGATTGGAGCTGAGGTAGACAAGGAAACCATAGTTGTGTTGGCCATTAGCAATCAGCAGGAATTGCCACAGAGTGGTATGGATGATCGAAATCACCAGAGGATGAGGTTGGAAGAGAGGATAAGCATAAAGGTACTGTTTGGTCCAATCCAGGCTGAACACATTGACAGCCAAAGCATGTGGATGAGGAACCAGAGACCTAAAAACACGGTAATTTGGTATTGAGGTAAGTGGCAAATGCATCGAGCTGAGGAGTACCTTACTACAAACATAGCCACTGAAAAATCTGATGATTGAAAGACCATTCCACAAGATAAATTTTATCTGGTCTGGAAAGGCAATCACCACGATATTCAAGGCACCCAGAAAATGAAATGCAAGAAGATGTATCCCAAACTTGTGGGCCCAAGAAAGGAGATCCAAGGTTCGACCTCAGAGGGAACAAGAACAGGTGTCCCCTTGGTGATTGGTATAAGCCACCACCATAGAAGTGTCAAAATGGCTCATCACAAGTCAATTCCCTACAAGAGGAAGAAAGTGATCCAAAACACATTCTACTGACAGAAGCTCCAAGATGCTGAGATAGTAAGACTTCTTGGCTGTAGACTATTGTCCAGAAGCCTCTTGATTGACCTGTGCCCCCCAACCATGGAGTGAAGCATCTGTGAAGAGATGCAAATCTGGATGTGGTGGAGAAAGTTGTACACCCTATGATGTGTGGGTCTTGTTTAACCACCACCACTGATTGTTGATGAGGAAAGGTGGAAGGGTAATGGGAGAATCTAAAGGATCCCAAGCTAGATCACACTGGTCATGTAGAGTCCATTGAATAGACTGCATATATGCCCAACCAAGGGGACAAGTGCACTTTCGTAGAAGCCCATGTCCACAAATGCAGTAGAAGATCATGAGCAGCAAGGGTGTGGAGAAATGAAAGCTCCATCTAATGGAGTCGAGAAGGAGAAGGTTAGGCCTGAATGAGGTGGGTGTTCAAAAAAACACCTAAATGGACAAGATATTGGGTATGTAACAAGAAAGACTTCTCCAACTTGATATCCAATCTACTCAAGTTGCTTCTGTCAGAAGCAGATGAGCGTGTTATGAATGACTTCAGTTCGGAATGAACTAACAAAAGCCAATCATCCATGTAATACTATAAACACAACCTCCAAGCATGCAGAAGTTGGGCAATTGTTTCAACTACCCGACAAAGGGCATATGAAGCCAAAGTAAGCCCACAGGGCAAAGTGGGAAACTACAACACAATCCCATGGTGGACAAACCGAATATAGTGTCTAGACTGATGAGAAATAAGAATATAAAGATAAGCATTTGAGACATCTACCTTGGTCATCCACATTCCTTGAGAAAAAGCCCAGCTTAGTGTAAGAAAGGACTCCATAGTAAAATGGGGAAGATCCAAAATCAGTTGAAGCAGGACAAATCGATCATAGGATGCAAGACCACAAATATCTTGGGTACCACAAACACCCTGGCGTAAAAACCTGGGGAATGATGGCTCGATAGCTCTCTGATATAGAAGAGACTGTACCATCTCAGACAGACATCGACTGATAGTAGGATCCTAAGGTAACGGAAAAGATATGTGTAATGGAGACAATAAGGAAGGGGAGAGGAACTGGATGAAAAGTGCTTCAGACATAACCTGGATAACTGAAGGATTGATAACGAATCCCCACCATAGTGTAATAAAATTGGCCAAATGAGCCCTTACTGGACCAGAGCCAACATGATAATAATCAGTATTGCTGATGCCGATGAAACCTACATTGAGAAACATGATGAATGGTAGAACTCATAGTGGTAGGAATAAGTAAAGGACAGGACGGTGCAGGATGTAGAACAGTAACAGGGAATTGCAAAGGCTCAGAATGAGACAAACAAGCAACCAAAGATGAAAGGGTTGAATGTTGCATCACATTCTACACGTAATTCCAAATTTTCAGGAATATCCCAAAATATGGACCAATGGAGAAAGGGAGCCATCTACAAGTCCCAAAGGTAAGTGGATGGTATACAAACCTGGGAAAAGCCAGCATCTCTCCCCAGAAGATACCAACAGCAAAAAAAACCACTTGTGAAGGGAAAGAGCTGAAGTGGATCATCACGCCAACATAGAGGAAATGAGGGAGCATGTATCCCCAAAAATCCCTCAGAAAAATGGAGGAGTGCTCCAGAAAGGAAGAGTATGGTGGACAAGTACCATAGGAGAGTTGTAAGGGTAAGACAAAGGTGGGGAATTGAAGGCAACCTGATGTCAGGAGAAAGAGGGAAAACAAAATAATGTGAGGAAGGGGTGTCATGTAATAAGAAAGGAACAGGATTATAAGAAATTGGGAAAATGGATGAAACAGAACACACCTGGGAAACCATGTCCAAAAAGGCAAAGTTAGGCCTAGCTTGGGAAGGAGGAGGAAAAAAGCTGTCAAAATCTTTGTTGTCATGAACATGTTTCGCAAATTTAGGAGGAAGTCTAGCAATATCAGGAGAAGGAGGTCATCTCAAATAACGATCAATCACCCAATGAATGAAAGCCAAAAATTCCTTAGTCACGTTCCCCTGATCTGAAGCCTGTGTAATTGTGCTGGAAGTAAATGGAACTTCTGAAATGATAACATGAACTTTGGAATTCATCATGTAATGAGAAAAAAACAAACAACAACAAAGGTAAGTTTTCGCTTAAACCTACAGAAATAAACTGTAGTGAAAATTATTTCCACTTCATATGAAATATTAAATAAAAAAACACTTAAAGAAAGCACAGTAAAAAAATGTCTGCACTAGAGTACTGCCTAACGAGAAGTGATAGTTCAGTAGACTTGAAAAGAGGAAGTCACATGCATTATGAAGGTGTCGCACTCCTATTGGTGGAGGGTTCTTGCATGATGATTTACATGTGACATGCAGTTGCAACTCGATGATTGTGGGATATGTGGAAGTACGAGGCTTGTGGTAATGTACCGTATTGGAAAAAAATTCTAAACATTTACATTAAAAATCTTTTGATATTCATTTAGAAGGATCTGGAGATTTTTGCTAATGAAATCTTCATATAAAAATCACCTTGTAGGTGAACTATTCAGAGTCAGAGTGCAAATAACTATATCAAATAATGAACTGTTTATTAGAAATAGTAGAAAAAGAACTTTTAAGAATGTTCTTGTAAAACTTTAAACAATTTCATGCACTAATTTTACTTTTGGAAAGAAATACGACAAGAGTGACGTTAGCTGCCAAGAAACTTGGCAGCTGTATCGAATAGGGTTAAGATACATATTTGAAAAGTGAGAATTATCCATAACTTTGTTGCTTCTCACAACATTCCAGCACAACTGACAAGATTGTAAATATAATGCTTAAGCCAAAAATTCAAACATACAAAGATTTGCAAAACATTCCACAAAAATGAATTAATTTTGATTAAATATACACGTAGATCTAAACACTATGTTTCAGTCAATGTGGGCAATGTTTAAGCTGTATTATTGAGTGAAAAATCAATTAGTGTGAATCTTCTTGACATATTTTTGCACAAACATTGAGAAAAAATTTAAGAATTTATAAATACTTAAATAATAGGCATATACTGATCATCTAACCTTTGGCCTTAAATGTGCCTGGAACAAGTTTTTATCATTTTACATCAATGACACTGAAATTCATTACAAATTAAGGAAAAAATGTCTATTGAAGCTGCTAATATCAATCAAAGCTTATTATTACTCTAAATAATTCAGTTTAAGGCTGTACTTTCTGAAAAAACAAAACAAAAAAAAACATTATTATTATAATAATATTCTAGAATATGGTATCATCAAACATTATCAGTTACAAAGGTCAAATAATCTGAATTGAAATTCATACGTACCCAGCATACATTAGATGCAACTCTTGGTTCAGCTGAAAGGCCTTTTACCAAGGTTTCGAGAAGAGGTTTAAGATAGTTTTCATTTATTACTGCTTCAGAAATGAGCTCACACACACGACCAATGGTCCATGCAACTGTATCCCTCACCACCACACTCTGGTCAGCCATAAGCTCTATTAGCATTGGCATAGCTTGTTCCACAATGGGTTTGAGCTGACTAGGGTCTGGTCCTTCAAGTATACAACCTGAAAATTTGAAAAAAAAAAAATGAGATGATATTTCAAACCTATGACAAAAAGTAAAAATCAGAATATTCATATATGTTATCAAGCCTACATCATGGAATAGACAAAAGATTCTTTAGAAATGCATGATTATTAAGTCAACATTTTTCTAAATTGAAAATGTATTTCCAATAATACTTACCTCCACTGACACTCATAGCTATTACTTGACTGCCAGGGTTTCAACCTTTGCCCATCTAAGCATTTGTCTGATATCTTCTCACTTGCCCCAGTCTTTCATACTCCACTCAATTGCCCTTGGTAATATACTCTCCACCTCTGTCAATGTGCCCTCTATGTATATAAGCACCTCATTCAGATAACTTTTTCCTTTTTCGAGACTGATACCCTCCCAGTCTTTAACACCGACATTTAGTGGGGAAGAAAGCTGAAGAGTGTCAGCAGAGGTAAGTATTATAGGAAATACATTTTCAATTTAGGAAAATTTTAACTTCCAAAACGCACTTAACTCTACTGCCACGTATAGCTGGAATCCGACATTGAGAAGGTGAAGGGCACTATCAATACAGAAAGCATCTGCATAGACCATGGGTGTACCAAGATAAGAGTGGTGCCCGAGTGGGGGAACTGCACTACATCCAGAACAGGTATACTCTTCACCCTGAACTTAGTTCCTGTATCAAGGGTGGAATAGTACATAAGTAATCAACATTATAGGCCAGCCCCAACCAGATAGCCAAGGTTCCACAATTTGGGGTTGGAACTAAAGGGTCCCTACATCCCATGTTGGTGGCTATAGCAATTGGATCCCAACTTGTAGTGACGGCAGCCAAATCATTGGAATTATGACAAGAAAGTAAACAACACCGAAGCCAACAAACTTTGTCCTCTACCTGAAGAAGTTCGAAAGGCAAGAGCCCAGGTCCAGAATGAGGGGATTGTGTATGCCTTCCTCAACCAAAGGAACAGAACTCATCCGGTCTAGAATTATGAACATTCATTCTCACTCCCTAACAGAGTGGGCAAGGACCATTCCACTTGCCTCCAGATTTATGAAAAGGACATGGAACAACGTGTTCAACCAAGAACCAAGGATGGGACCACTCTGCATTCAGAATTAAGAAGAGATAGTGCACCACCTTCCATGAACAATATACTAAACTAATAATGATAAAAAACAAGGGCTATGCACATCCCAAAGAGATAGCTTATCATAAAATCTGAGCCGGTAATCCACGGACCTGCAGGAAAACACTCTAACACACTGGAGGATAAGCCTCTGTCCAACACACTAGTGATTGGAAACTGGGTGTGGTAAGGACTCCTTATCTCCACTAGTACAATCTAAGGAGTAATGTGCATTGGGGAGTCCTGAGGAACAGTGCTCCGGAAACATTGCAATAGGTGAACTTACTTACTTATACTCTGGGTGGTAATTTTGGTTACGTCCTTTCAACCTCAACGTGTTTGAGGACAACAAGGGGTGTTCAGAAGCTTTTTTCCACTTCTCTTCAACCCGCTGCTT